TGCAGCAGAAGGAAGAGCAGCAGGGGCATCCCGGAGTGCGGAGAGGAGGCAAAACCAGAAAGAAACAGAGCCCAAAGCCGCAGACAGCAGCCACTCCGATCGCTCCGATTATCTGCCGTCATCGATAAGCGCGTCGTTTGTCATAGCCGTGTTTTCAATGGTCGTACAAATCACAGTCCGTCTCGTCCCGCAGCGCCACCCCCACTCCTCTCCACTCCCCCGTCTCACCATTTCACCACCACTACCACTCACTGTCACTCTCTCCTCTGCTGACAGCAGGAGCCGGACCTGATCGCAGCCAGTCCGTGAATCAGAAGATGAGATGATCCCGTTGTGACGTGAAGAAGAGATGCCAGCATTGTTCTGAGATGTAGAGTTTGATGAACATTATCATCGTTTTATTTTTGTATAGGTACATTTTTTAAGTCCCTGTCATGTATTTAGACTAAACTGCGGCACAATATTGTCACATTTTGATAATTTTTGTCGTCCACTGGAATGAGAATCCGACTATGTGAGGCAGCGGAATTTCCTTCTCTAGACACTAATATGAAAGTCTCTAGGGCTGAAACGATTAATTGGTTATTGAAACGATCTTCAATTGTTAACTGAAGTGCACACTCAAAAAGACGATTTGCTTTTGGGTTGTGCTATTAAATTTATAGATGGTATTGTTTTTTTTATTTTTTTTAGTGCTCTAATAATAATAATTAATTTCAGAGAGCTGGTTGATTAGTTTGCCTGATGAGCTCAATTAAAGGAAACCTACTTTAGAAGGATGTTCCACATTATTAAGCAGGCCACAGGTTTCAAGCAATACGAGAAAGAGAAAGGAAAATCATCAGCTAGTGTAGTGTCATATGACAAGGTATGAAAACATTAGATATTTAGCAAAAACTGAAGCGTTATTATCGTGGCAATCATTTGTGGCCGATTCAGAACAAAGATGTGTTTGTACAGGTAAAGGTTAATGAGGAAGATTTCTGTTAGTCAAATTCATGGGATTAAGAGAGCAACTGTTAAAATGTCCTTACAAAGCAGTAAATGGTTATTTGAAGCTGCTGGAGCCTCTAGTACCTCGAGGTGAAGGATCCTCCAGAGACCTGCGGTGCTTGAACCTATTGTTGGGCCCCTAACCTGCTCACAAGCAGAAACAGTCGCAGTGGACCCAGCCAAACATGAAGATTCATTTTCAAACAGACTTGATCACTGATGCAGCTGTGCAACCCTGTATGATCCAGATGGATGCAGTAGTGGATTGGTGGTGGACGGCCACCACGTCCCAACACGGCTGTGATGTCAGCAAGAAGGTGGTGGAGTCATGCTTTGGGCTGAAGTCATGGGGAGAGAGAGAGAGAGAGAGAGCTTGTTGGCCCCTTCAGGGCCCCTGAAGGAGTGAAAATGACCTCAGCAAAGTTTATGGACATTCTGACTGATCACTTTCTTTCATGGTTCAAAAAGAAGAGCTGTACCTTCAGCAGCAAAATCATCTTCATGCATGACAATGAATGCTGCCAGGAATACCACTGTGTCATTGGCTGCTACGGGCATAAAAGGGGAGAAACTCATGGTGTGGTCACCATCCTCCTCTGACCTCCAGGGACAAACCGGGCGCTCCTCTTCTGTGGAATTTGTTGAGACTCCGTCTGGTTGCAAAATATTGGTGCATAGCTCGGCCTCGGATGATGCATCCCAGATATCCGCCATATGGCCCACTTTCATAGTTCCACTAACAGCCCTTTGGAGTGGAAACAGAGCTTCAAACTCCGGGTAATGAACAGCCAAAACTGGTGTGGGGGGTTTGTGGGGGTAGAGCTCGAAAACGAAAAACGGCTTTCTGAGAAGAAACAGATGGTGGGAGGTACAGTAACTAACCCACCTGTGCACAATGCAGGTAATTGCTTCCAAAAGAAAAAGCACGGCGACATACGGTGCTTTAAACTCGTTTTTATTTGCTCAGCGCTTTGGACGGCACCTGCAAAAGAGAAACCTTTTTTATGTTTTTTAAAAATCCCCCAGAGGAATCTGTTTCAGCACCAAGGACAGCGTCAACCGGGTTGGTTCATTTTCACAACACCAACCGCTTCCTTTCTTTGACCTATGACACATTTAACATGCTGCTGTACATTTATTTATATTTTTAAACTTATTATGACAGGAAACACACTTTGTGCAAACGGCTCCATCTCCGTTTTGCCCTCCTCAGCCTCGCCCAACAGCTTGAGGGATTGCTTCAAAGCAGCTCGGAAGCCTGAGCCAACCCTTCAAAAATAGCTTGGAGGAGGGAGAAATGAAATGTTTCTTTTCATTTCCACCCAAACCGAAAAGAAAAACAGGACAAAGCTTAAAACTCTGTCTTATTTCCTCGTGAAAGTTTGTTCTGCTTGTTTAGCTGGCAGACATTTTCCGACATTTATTAACTGGGAGACCATTCAACATCACGCTGGCTAAAAACAATCCTGATCGGATGTCTTGAATTAGATTTTATTCTATCTTTGACACAAAGTTGTTTTGCAGAGAACAACATCTAAACACACATTTGTTAGATTTGGCAGTGGATCCAGAATTACATAAGCGTGGAAATGGAAGGACAGAGCATCTCTAACTTCTTTAAAGACGCAGTGAGATGCAATACCAGGCAAAACTACTTATTTCCTGTTGGGTTTTTCCTCATATTTCCACATGTTCTCAATAAAAAATGTCTTTTTAGTAAGATTTAGTGTTACAGGCTGGGTGTTTGCAACATTTCCAACCCAAAAAGTCATTTTCGAATTCAGTCCAGCGAAATAAAGCTTCTGGAAAAAGCTCATTTATAAAGTTATGAAGATGACAAATATTTAAGGTAGAAAGCTTGTCATTTGTAGGGAAGCAAACACTTATTTGTTGGTGTATTCTATTTTTAGAAGGAAAAAAAAGACTAAATTCAGGCAAAAATGTGGACACATTTTTTACATTTTTATATATAGCTTGCTGGTATTTGTGGACAATTATTTAGGAAAAGAATAATAAAACAATTTCCAACCAAAATATTTCTTTAAAATATGCACATCACTAGTGCTTTTGCTACCAATTCTGTAAAACAAAAACCCCCGAAAAACCTGCTAAACATTTTGATCACTGTTACAATCTGTGCAAACCATGTATGATTCACATGAAACACAAGACTTTAGTGAAATGAGACAAAAATACAACTTTTTCTTTTTTTTTGTGGCAAAAAAATTGCTGAAATGTGAGTCTGTAGATGTGCAATGTTGGCAGAGAGACGTTCCCCAAACTCGTGCCAGTCAGCCTGTCAACCTCCTGCTGCGGTCGACTTTAATTTGCCATCTCAGGTTATTCCAATCAGCTCATGGCGATTGCTTTATTTGTTTATTTATTTTCCAAATCATCTTTTAAAAATGAACAAAAGGCCCTGAAACGCACCACCACGAGAGGAAATCAACACGCTTCTCCAAAATGTGACGTGGAACTTCAAATCTGTCAAATTAGACTTCTTAATTGCTTTTTTGTTTTTTGTTTTTCGCTGAGGTCTTAAGTAACGTTTGATGATTTGCTGTCTCTTTTTTTCCAGTTTCCATTTGACAGGTGAAGCCGTCGTGGCATAACCGCGGCGCGCTTTGGGGAGCGGGTTGGTAGGCGTCGTGCGCCGCACGGCGTGGCCACGGATTTGCGCGTGGCGCTCGGTTCCCGTCGACCGATCGGCCGCTCAGAACGCGGCGCGACCCCGATTTGGACGCGTTAAAGAAGAAAAAAAAAAAAAAGCACACAAAACGAAAGAAAAAAAAAATCCCGCAGGAGCGTCTCCGCTCGTCGGGGTCTTTCGTTCACAGTCTCTCTCCCTGCATCGGAGTCTGACTGACTGTCGTTGGTTGACTTTCTCCCCTTTGGGGGCGGGGGAAGGGTTGAAGGAGCCGGGGGCGGGGATGTGAGAGGAACGCCGGGAAGCCAAAAAAAAAAAAAAAAAAAAAAAATCCCAAAGAGGGAAAGGGAAAAGGTAGCGCGCGCAAAAACGGCAACAGGGGAAGGAAGACGCGAAAGCGACGTCGGACCTGGCTGGCCGCCTCTTTCGGGTTTCAGGAGCATCAGGGAGGCGGGGAGGGGGGGGGGGAGAGAAGAGGAGACAAGAGGAGAGCAGAGGAGGCAATGCTGCTGGGCGGGGATGGTGCTCGGTTTCTGCCCGGCGGTGGAGGAGAAGATGCGAGCTGCTTTTCCGGCGCACCTGCACCGCCGCCGTCGTCGCGTTTTTCGACCGAGAATTGATGATGGTGATGATGATGCCGCCTCCATCATCCGGATCCTGTTTGTCTGGGGTTCTCGTTCCCCCAACTCTGGATTATAGATGATTATCGTGGACATTACCTTTTGATTTATTTATTTATTAATTTTTGTTGCTTTTATTTTTCTGGTTTTGTTTTTATTCCTTCAACTCGTTTTTTTTCTCCTTCCTCCCTTCCCCTTCTTCTTTCTTTCACGCGAGGAAGAGATAGACTGGTAGACTTGAGGATCGGAGTATTTTCATCTCCAAGTGCGCGCAATCACGCCCAAAAATCAGTGACCGACGCCTTGTAGGAGAGGAGGGGGAGGAAGAAGAAGCAGAAGAGGAGGAGGAGGATCGGAAGGAGGCGGGGGAGGAGGAGGAGGAAGGGGGGATGCCGCACCGTCCATTACCAAATATCAACAAATGTCACCAGGCTCGGATTTTGGGGAAGCCCCCCGTCAGTTGACGTCTTCGCGTGTGCGCGGAAAGCCGCGGCGGCAGTGAAAGGTGGCAGCGGGAGCCACATCAAACCCTGCGGATATATGGAACAAGACGAAATGAATTATTAAAGATTTCACTCTTATCTACTTCTATTTTTATCCGGCTGAGTGCGTGTGCGTGTGTGTGTTGGGGGGGGGGGGGCGGGAGGAAAAAAGAAGAGGAAGAAGAAGAAGTGGGGTCCGGGGGGGAGGAGGAGGAGAGGAGGTGGAAGTACAAGGGGGTTGGAGGGGGGGGGGGAAGACAACTGCAGATCCTGACAAGATGCAGGGAAAAGACGCAGTCTGGAGCCGGCCTGCTCGCTGGAGATGGATGCAATACTACTTCTCTCAATGCACAGCTATGCATTCTGATCGCGTCTGAGGTGATCGATTCATCCGCCTGCGTAGAAACGAGAAGCGGCTGCTGACTTTTTTTTTCTTTCTTGTTGGAGCGGCTTTTCCTGATCAAATATCATGATATAAGAACAGCATGAGAAAGAGAGAGAGAGCGAGAGAGAGAGGAGAAGAGAGGGTGATGCCTTGATACAATATATTTTTTTTTCCTCTAAGAGAACTGATTGTACAGAAATTATATAAACACATCGCCGTGTTTCATATCCCGTCATATTCCAAAAATACACGATATCTCCCTTTCCTTCTCTTCTCTTCACTCTTCTCCCATCCCTTCCTCCCTCCCCCTCCTCTCGTCCTCCCAACTCACAAATGGAGGGATCTTCTTGGCGCTGAAGACCCGGGGAGGAAAAAAAAAACCAAAAAGAAAACAACAACAAATAAAACAGATCTAGATAGAGTTGGAAGGACAGAAAGCGAGAGACAGAGACAGATCCGAGCCTCCGTTCTGCATGTGTCTTTGGAGCCGAGGCTGATGGGGTGGTGGCATGTGGAGGTGTCACTCTGAGGTTTCCCCCCGGCTCCTTCCTAACCTCTGGCGTTTGGTGTCTGCAGAATGGCGCGCTTTGGAGACGAGCTACCCAACAGGTACGGAGGAGGAGGAGGAGGTGGTGGTGGCGGTGGTGGCGGGAGTGCCGGCGGACAAGGGGGGCCCGGCCGCGGCGGCAGCAGGCAAGGTGGGCCCCCCGGGGCGCAGCGGATGTACAAGCAGTCGATGGCCCAGAGAGCCCGGACCATGGCCCTGTACAACCCCATACCCGTCCGGCAGAGCTGCCTAACGGTCAACCGCTCCCTCTTCCTCTTCAGCGAAGACAACGTGGTGAGGAAGTACGCCAAAAAGATCACCGAATGGCCATATCCTTTCACAGCGGGCCCACCAAGGTACCGGCGGGGGGGCGGGGTGGGGGTGTTGGCTGGAGAGCTTCGGCTAAGGTGTGGCCTTAATGTGGCGGATGAAAGTTCGGAGTTGTGTGCAGATTTGATATTTAAAACGCCTGCTTGTGTGTGCAATAAGCTCCCGCTATGCACTTTCCCCTTTGAGTCTCTTCTGAATGAATCGTTCTGCTGAAGACGATTCGAGTTGCACTGATGAAGATGCATCGCGGTCCAGAGCTTTTACCCAGTTAGCAACTTGCGCGCGCGTGAATGCGTGTTGGTTGCTGTCAGAGCTGAGTGCTGATGTCAGCACTACGAGAGCTTATAGCGCCATGCAACCAGAAGGTAAGGGGAATGGCTATTTCCGGTTCTTATCCGCTCTCTAACCACCACTGACTCTCCTGAAGTCGCATATGGTGTATTCTGCAGAAAAACAACGCACAAAAATGACTAATTATGAGAACATGGCGGCCTATTGTTTTAGTATATTCATGTCTTAAGTTATTTTATACAATTTCGGGCTGAAAATGTATCGCGATATGTTTCACATCAGCCGATACAGATAATTATTGAATAGTTTTGTTTTTAAATTATAAGGCATGGAGGCTAACGCTAATTGCTGCTGCAAATTACTTAAGTTGTTGCTAGGTAACCAAAGAGTGAGCAAGTTAGTTGATGTCACATGTCAGGTGCGTCTGGTTCACATGCAGTATATGTGAAGACTCGTTGAAGGCCGCGGTGTGTTTGTCAAGAGCGTCCAAAGCCTTGTGGTCCCCACAAGGGGAAACGCTGTTTATAGGTCAGGGGTCAGATTCAGGATGAAGGTGCGAATTGAGTTTTGGTGAGAGTTGGGTATGTAATGTTTAGGGTAAGGGTAACGTTCAGGCAGATTATGGAAAGTCCCCACAAAAATATTCTTGCAAACGTGTGTATGTGTGTGTGTGTGTGTTGTCAGTGGGGGTTGTGGTGAAAGAAAGTACCTGGGTGTTTAGAATGAAAGTGACTCTAAACAAGCAAGAAAATGTCTAAAAACAAAAGAAAAAAATCTTTTGGCATAAGCAGGAAAAAGATACGTACTAGAAAAAAACTAAGCTACATGTGTTGCCTAGACAGGCAATAGAATAGATTTTGACTAGAGACAGGAAAGACACAACTCTTCATGTGTCAGTCAAACCAATAACTAGTAGCAAGATGCTAGCAGGTTTCAGTAGTTTTAAGTATTTTGTAGACAATGAACCAGTGGATATTAAACAATCTGATGGAGATGCTGGCAGTACCAAGGTTTGTATCAACTGACTTGCCCAGGTTCGCTAGTTCACTGTGGCTGAAAGCTTAGATGTGTTTACGTAAAGGACAAGATCAGAAGTATCTTAAGAGCTTCCTGGTATTGTAGTTATGGTCCAATTCACAGATTAGTGTATGTTGGATACTTTAAGACCTAAAAGGTGGAGGGAGTAGGAACAAGATCACACAACTAAGCAGCCAAAAGTCAAGGTTTAAAAAAGTTTTAAAAAGTTTTAAAGATAGCAAATAAAGAGGAGATATCATGTAAAACTCATCTTTTTTAAGCTTTAGATGTTATAATGTTGTTCCCCCATCAAAACATCCCCACTTTTACTTTGATTTATTCATGTTTGTTTTAGGAATCCTTTAATCTCCCATGGAAACCATTCAGGAGTGCCTAAAAGCTTGTTCATGCTCCATTTTAGAGCCTCAGTTCTTAGCTGACCTTCTGCCTCCCAGACAATATGCCTCCACTCAGCTCCTCCAGACTAGCGGCAGCAGGAATTAGCAAACACCTGGTGGAAGTGCAAGTCTGCTGAGTTAACATACAGCTACAACGCTCCTTGTAAACAGCATCGGCATGGAGGAACGTTGTTTTGATGGCATGCCAAATGGGAATATCTGAAAGGGTAGCAGCTTCTTAAAGAGACGAAGCCAATTTCAGGTGTTTGATGGAAAATCAAATTGCACTTAAAGAGGCATTGTGCAGGGACAGAGTGCCATTTTATAGCACAATCAAGTTACAATGTCACCTTCACTTGTTATAAAAATGCTAAATATTTCAAATGCGACTTAAAAGAAATTTTACTTAGTGATTTAACACCTTGAATTTGGGCCTCTGTCTCTTTAAGAAACTCCTGCTTCTTTCTGAAACTCCGCCTTCAGGAAGTCATCACAACACAGCTCCTCTATTAACCCTTTATCTACGTCTTTACCAGCATTGCACTGAGAAGTAACTTGTATAACGAGCTCAGTAGGTGCGTAGCTCTGCCAGGTGTTTGCTAATTGCTGCTGGCTAGTCTGAAGGGGCTGAATAGGGGCGTCATGGCAGAGGGCTGCTATGTGAGGTGAAAGCTGGGAAGCTTGGAAACTGCAGCTCATAGGAGGAGCTGTGCCTCAAAGGCGTTTAGGACAGCTGACTGGTTTCCACGGGAGATTAAAGGATTTCTCAAACATGCGTGAAAGAATCAGCGACACTCCTGGTATGTTTTTGATGAGGGAATAGCATTATAACACAATGTAAAGCTCAAAAAAGTTTATTTTAAAGAAACAACTAAATTAACATAGCTTTTTGATTGTGCTCTGAAATGGCAATATATATGCCCGATAAATACATAAAGGCCCTTTTCCTCCCTTAAATTAAGATCCTACACTAGTCAGGTTTCCCTGAGAGATCACACCAGCATTAAATGACAGTTCAAACAACATTCTGGACGGTTAGCTCCTCCAGAACCATGAAGTTTGACTCTTTCATTGTTCTGCTTTGTTGTCGCTCATTTTCAGGCAGTCTTTATTCACCACAACCGTTTACTTACTCAGATTAACGAAAAAATAGAAAATAAAGTAGACATCAATAATTACTCCAGGCTGCTCAGGATCTTACTTTGCACTGGAAGTGAAAATCTTGGCAGATTTATTTATTTAAAAAAAAAAAAAAATCCACTTTTTGACCTGTAAAATATGTATTATTAAAAATGTAATCAATAAAGAGCATGTTAAAGTGTTTACAACGTTCACTTTCTGATCTGGAAATGAACTGAGCATATCCCATCATGCCACCATCTGCACAGAGCCGGGCTGTGTCGGCTGGCAGATGCTGTGGCTTCTTTCACATGAGGCCCAAAGGACTTCATTATACTTCCCTTCCCTTCGCCAGCACTTTCACATTCCCTCTCTACGCTCCTTTCATGTTCGCCTCTCCACCGCTCTTCTTCCCCCTGCAACCCGTTTTCCTTAAATGTACCCTCCTCCATCTTCTACCACTTTTTAAAAAATATCATTACCTGTTTTACGCAATTGCCAAACTGCTTATTTTAGTTAACTCAGGGCGCCATCATTTGCAGTGTAAAAGTGGATGGAAATAATTTTATAAAAGTAAATAAATATGTAAGGTGTTAGAAAAGTTAAACTCAATCTCCACATGGCGCAGATTTTAGAGAGTTTAGAGGCTGGACCTTGACTCGACCACTGTAGCAACCAGCTTTTTATAAACCAGCATTCTGTCTCCTTCATTGATGTTCAACTTTAGTGATTGTTTTTGCAACTTTGCATAGACACAGAAATTCAAATTTGGACTCAGGCTAACCTCGGAAACGTTTGATGAGTTTTCCTACTTTGCAGTACAGCAGCAAACTTAAATCAGTGGATTCTTCCATGTCACGGGAAGTTATGTCCTCGCCAAAGCCAGCTACTGATCTGATTAATGACAGGCTGATGCAAGTAACTTTGTTTTGTGACTTTATTTCATCCGGTCCCGGTAAGTGGGTGGCCGTCACTCATGTACCTGTAACTTGCGTTGACTTTGGAAAGGCTGGTGACTAGCATGACTCGGCTACCTCGGCTGGTCACCCACCAAACTGGCTACTTCCTCTGCTGTCCATTAGCATTAATAGCCTAGCATTAGTCTTGCATGGGCTAGCATTATCCTTAGATAGACTTCCAAGTAGCATAGGCGAGCATTAGCATTGGATTGGCTGGTATTAGCCTTAGAGAGGCTACCAACTAGCATGCTAGACTAGAGCGTGCTCGTCTAACTAGACCAACTAGAGAGGTTGGCTGGTCACCGACTGGTTCTCCTAATTTCTCTATTAGCACAAATAAGCTAACATTAGTTTTGTGATGGCTACCGTTAGCTATCAACGAGCATGAATGGAATATTCTACTGGCTTCCTTGTTTTTGAAGAGCAGCTAAAAGACACGGGCTTTAGTTTCTCATGACGTTTTCCCAGGGAAAGCAATAAGTCACGTATTACTAAAAGTCAAAACAAAGAGGAGAAACTACCTTTCTTTCTCCTGTGTTGTTTCCAACAGTGCGGCAACAAACGTTTGTGAAAAATGAAACGAAAACTTTCAATGTGATGTGAATTCCACCACTAAATAAATGTAGTCGAGCTAAATGTTGGATTTAGAAAAAGAAATATGCGTGAGATTAAAATACAGTAATAGAATAGTTGTTTTTAAAAATATATCTTTAACAAGAGTTTCAACAATTCTGAAGGGCTTTGTAATAGGAGAGCTGTTATGAAAGATGTAAAAGTTAAACATTATTAATCTTATTTTGATGTTTTGTTGTCTCTAGTTTCTAAATAACAAAACACAAAAAGAGTTTCACTTCCTGCTTTTTTGAAAGCAGGAAGTTTTCCTGCTTTTGTCTTCTTCAGTAATGTCTTTATTCTCCAGAATAAAGACATTACTGTTTATTTTGTTGGCCAAGCACCATCAGATATGGTTACAGCATTATTATCTGAATGTTGTGCTTGTTCTTTTTTTTTTTTTTTTCCATTCTGTGTCACTCTCTGACCATCTGCTCTGAGCGGTCATTGTCTGTGTGAGTTTCACGCTTGCTCAGCTGGGTTCTGGCCACGCTGCTTGCTATCTCGTGAGGAAAAGGACATGTGGAGAGAGGTAGATACTAAGTAACACAGAGAGAGAGAGAAAATGAGAGGCAGTAGATACCAAAAACCTTCACCAAAAAA